TCATTTGAGTACTTCATTTTTAGTTTAGTTTTTTTTTTTTTTTGCATGAGTCTGAACCTTTTTTTTCATCCTTAAAAAACTTCTAAATGCTTGGTTTGAGAATGTGAGTTCTAATGAGGCTGTATCATTGTATTATTGAATTAGATGGCAAGATAAAGAACAATCCAAAGTTTTCTGTTGAGCAAGCATGCACGAAGCTTTTGACTATTCCTTTCTTTCTGTGTATCCAGGGGAGTGCAGTTTCATCCTCTTGGTCGCTTCCAACTGGGAAATTAACTTCTAAGATATTTGCCATTGGTAAATAGCTGCAAGAAAACAAAATTGCCTGCAATTTCTTTTAGAGGTGATTTAGCATGAACTTTAGTTTAGTAATAACTGCACTAAATGAGTGCTGTGACTGCTATCCACTTAATATTTTATTTCTCGTAATGGCAAACAAGTCAGCACGGGATAAGTTGGGAATCTATGCTTGCAGCTGGTAGATTTTTGAGTAGCAACTGTTCTGAGTTTGTGTATTCTGCCTTTATGTTAGGTTACCTAACAAGTAACCGAACATGCTCCTTCCCTTCTGCACCTGCCATACAGGGTGAAAATGTGCTTGAGAGTTGATGCCATCATGTATGCATGTTCTAGCAGAAGCTCAAAAGCTACAAGACATGTAGCTGTTAGCATCTTGGACCCAGAAGTAAAACTTCTGGCCCAAGTTTCATGAAATTTCAGCTGCATAGATCGTATTTCCATTAGCAAAGATGTCTGTTGAAGATGTTCCTTGCAGCCATGTTAGTGCAGTGTAAGAGAGAAGGTTGGTTTGAAAGAGGCCTTGTTCCTCTCATGCTAAATGATTTAACTTGAGTACAGTCTAAAGTTATCTTTATATGCATGTTAAACTCGATTCTAAACGTCCATGACAACTGAAACTCCTGGATAAACTTACATCTGTTATCATTTACAACATATGGATTCAGGATCATTGAATTCCCTTGAGTTGTCTTTATTGGTATCTGTGGCCGTGCTGGATCTGTAACTTTGAGTCCACTTGAAATAGCACAAAAGGAACTAGATACATGACTTTGTTTAGTTTTCCCTGTTTCAGAATAGCTGAAATCAAAACCTGATTTATTTATTTTTTTAATTGCCTTTCTGAATATAAAGAGGTAGCACAAATTTCATTTCTTGGTGACGTACCAAGCTGATGTATATTTTGGTGAAATCATAGAGGAACCTCAGCTTTGTTGTGGCAAGGAAGCCAAAACTTTCACACTACTGGAACAACAGGAAGAAGGACAAAAATAAGAACTAAACTTTATATATATTTTTTTTTATTATTACTTTTTTTTTCCCCTGCAGGAGTATCCTGATGCCCTGTTAAATGATTGTTAATGACAAGTATTATTTTCTAAAGCATTCAAAATTGCTTTGTAGATTAGTAATTTGGTAATACGTGTAAAAATGTCAATATAGCCATGGTGGGAAAAGACAACCTGCACGCTGCTTCTGTGTGAGACAGAGGGACACTGTGCAGGAACTGGAAGCAGAGCTGCACCATTAGTTGACTGTTTTGTACCCAGAACCAGCAGCACCCCCATCACACATGCAACCTCCTTCCCGGATCTGGGGGCTGCAAGTCCTGCTGTGACACTGCAAGTGTTGATGCAGGGAGGGTGACAAACCACCAGCCTTAACTATAAGCTGAATCTTGATTCTTTGCCATCCTGTTTTAACTGTAGCAACGGAAATGTAGAGATTGATCATGAGCTAACTGAAGTTAATGGGAAGGCCTCTATTTGACATCAGTAGAACTTGACATCAATAGTGCAATTTCTTTGGAGAAAAGGCTCCTCTGTGGTAGTCTTTAAGCAAGTGTTTCTGTAAAAGCAGAGAACCTCTGACTGTAATCAATTTCAGTCCCTTTTAATGTGCTGGTTCCCAGTTATCATGAATAGTGAACAGCTCTTTGTGCTTGCTGGGTGCATGGCTGCATGTGCAGTGATATCACGGCTGCTGAGGAACAGATTTTGATGAAGCTGTTGGGTGTGTACTGTGAGCTCAGCTACAGATGGGAAGTGCCTTTCCTGTGGAATTTAGATTAAAATTGCCATATGTAAAATACCTTCTGCAGTTTGAAAATCTAGATCAGGTTTTAATTGATAAAACAGATATTAAAATTTTAAGTGTATAGTCTTTTCTGATGATGTCTTTCTTCCCCGAGATCAGTGGTGTCTGTTTATATTTCATGTCATGAAATTTTTATAGGAAAAAAATGAAGCAGTGTTTTGATTATGAGGTGGAAGCCCAGAGTTGAAATATTACTGGCTATTGTTTCCTGTAAGTTCTCTGTCTGTGTATGGGTGTGTAGTGCATTTTTTTCAATTGCGGATGTATCTCCTGGTTATCTCATTAATCATACTTGAAGTTAATAAGCTTTTAAAACATACCTATAACATCACACTGCTTTGTGTTTAATTAAATGTGTGTCTAATCCTACAGTTGTTAATTTGGCAAAGTCCCACTGGAACTTATTGCTACCTGATCAAATACAGGAGAGCTGGATAGAACCTAATAGGTCTTCAGAAAGTGAGTGCATGTCTAAGAGAAATCTTTTTTCTTATTAATGGTATTCTAGTACCATCTAAGCTCTTGGTTACTTAGTGGTTAAATTGTTTCTTCCCATTTTGACAGCAAATTGCTGTATCTGTTTTTCTTTGGATCATTTCCTGTCCACAAAAGACTCTATCATAATTCTCAGCCTTTCTAGTAAACACTCAATAGATAGGAAGTTATAGCTTCCTAATAGACCACATTCATGCAGAAATCTGTAAACATCCTTTTTACATCCCTTTTTTTCAAGATTTACTCATTAGTTATTCCTGCTACACTGCTTTGTGTGAAAGATTGGCTAGTCAGTGGTTGTAAAATATGAACCTTTTGACTGTCAGTGTGCCAGATGAAAACAATACTGAGAACACATTACCAGTTTGAATATTAGGATATTGCATGTAGCCTTAAACGCACACCCAATATGGATTTTTTTTTTTTTTTAAGTGTCCAAGCAAACATAGATGTTTGTTTCAGTTTTGCATAGACAGAAAACCTGCTCTGGTTTTGTGTCTATAAAAAAACTGTAAAAATTCATTATTATCACTTTTAAAGAGGTTCAGACTAGCAGTGGAATAAGTTGATGAGCACAGATTAAATGTCTTTACTGCATAACCAGAAACACAATAGATTTTGTGCTGAGCTGGTAGTACTGCCTATGAGGTGATCAGAGTATTTTCCTTATTTACTGTTTGTTCTTTGCACAGTGAAGAATGTCTTAACCAATTAGGTCTCCGATTCATGAAGCTTCATGCATGAGATTCCTATCACAGTGGGAATCTTGCTCTGCTCCATGTCACAGTCAGCAGGAGTTTAGGTCCAGCAGTGTATATCTGGCTTGTGGACCACATGTGAGCCTTATGTGGCTACTGAATGTGGCCTGCAGTGTCCTGGTCCAGAGGAACACCACAACACAACACAACGGGGTGGCTTGCTCTTCCCTTCAGCCACAGCTTCTCTTCCATCCTGTGCCTTTACACATTCCAGTTAGGGATACAGGAAATAAATTTCTGTCAAGAGCATCTGTTCAGTTCAGTGTATCTCTTCATTGTTTATGGATCAAGATGAACAGAAATTACTTCAGTCCAGCTGAACTTTTTCTGTACCTTTCAGCATAATTTCTCATCCTTATTTGGTTTAAAAGTTTAGATTGATTTCCAAGGAATTCACTTGCGTGCATGTGTGTGTGTGTACATAATACATTAGTGATTTCATCATCTGCTTTCTCATCATTACTGACTCCATTATAATGGCTCCTTGGAGAGATGGACAAACAATTCAGCCCTAAGTTGTTTGAATTAAGACTTTAAGGCCTGAGAACCAGAAGGGTCTCAGTTTCTAATTCCAGATAGCTCACAATTGACAGTAGTGTTTTTAATTCCTTTTCTGTCTAGTTTGGCAAAGCGATGGTGAGGCTATTTTCACTAAGAAACCTCCGAGTCTTGTCAGTTTTGTGGGTGAAGGAGGCCTATTTCCTTCTCCCTGTGACTTCTGTACTTAAGAGCCTATAAATTAGTGGCAACCTCAGAGGCAGCTGATGTAACTTACCTGGAGCCCACCATCATTCTCCAGTCACGTCCCCTGCTTTCAGCTCAGAGTTCAACTTGAGTGTTGCATTTGCATTTCTGCTTTCAGAGGCTGGTCAAAGAGTAGAGGAACATACCACACTCATCCTGACTGAATCAAGACTGCAAATTCAATGTGTCTGCTGAGGTTTTCTTGTAATGAAATATTTTGAGGAGCACTACTTCCCTTAATCTACTGAATTCATCTAAATGCTTTTCTTTTTTTGTTTTCTAATTTTTAATTTCTGCATGGTGCCTAAGGAAACTGGCAAGGGTGTCATCTCAGGCTATGCTTTATTATGCTGCAATACAAACCAGCGTAGAGAACTTCTTTAGCCTGTGTGCCATAAAAATTAGCTTTCTTTGGAAAGCTCCCAAATCTCAGACCCGTCTGCCCTTTTTTTCTGCTCATCCTCTTCATCTCTCATCCTCTGTTTCCTCTTTATGCTTGTACCCAGTACAAAATATCCGTATTTCTGCATGTCTGCTCTATATTATTAGATGTTTGGGGAAATACCAAATATCCCTTTCCCAAAACTTTTGGACAACTGACAGAAGGAAGGAAGTGGTCTGATTTGCATTACTGACACGGACTCCAAATACCTCAGATTGCCAAATTAAGAAAGTCTTAGCAGTGTACTATTTCAGTAAAACAATACTTTAGAGAGTTCGTCTTTTCAAACAGATGAACTGTACAGAATTACAACTGTCTACTTCTTTTTGATGGATCTAAAGTTAATGATGAGTTAGGAGCTTGGTCTTCTGGAATTGAATTCTGACTGTTCTTTTCCTAAGTTTAGTGCAGTGCAGGGGTCACGGCTTTTGTATTTATCAACATTTTGCATTCTCTCATGTTTTGTGCTTTCTACGGTCCAAGAGAAGCACAGCTGGTTGATTGTAATTTTGTTTTGTTTTCAGATATTGTTCCATTTTTTTTCTGTATGAATTAAAAGGCGAAGGGGATTCTGCAAGTCTCCCATTTTCTAGCCTCATTCTGAGCTATATAAAATGAAACAAATCTAAAGCTAGCTGGTCTTTCCATCATTCTTTTCTCTGGTATAAGCAATCTTTTACATCTTGACTCATTCTTTCCTTAAAGCAATGGATCATGAATGTCTCTTTCTATTTACCTGAATAGTATTAATAAAAACTGTACAAAGATTCGAAGTGATCAGTACCCAATCAGAATAACTAAGGAAATCAAACCTGTCTTAGAAGATGATTCTTTGTGTGTTTTCCATAATTAAGATAAATGCCTCTGTAGACTATATTAGGTAAGTTGATTTATAACGCAGCCAAGTTCTGATGAGTATGAAGTATTGGGATACTAATCAGTCATGTTAGTAAAAACTGGACACGGATCTGTTACCGTAAGCAAAGTCTTGTCCCTATCGGAAACAGTACTGTATCATCACGTGGTTTAGTAGAAATGGTGATGAATGTGGTTTTGCCTGTGCCTATATTAACAGTTAAGTCAGCCTCAGTGTGTTCACTCCTGTGAAGCCTGGCTTATTTGCTGTGGATATTCTGAGTTGCAGGATGATAATACGCAGTCCTGCTTACAGATGCCACTTCCTGTACCGTAGTGTTCATTGCAGCTGTCCTGTGATCAGTGGAAGACTGGCCCCCAAGATGTCAGTCTGTCACTGTTACCACATGCAGAACTCTCCTTCCCACGCAATATAGAGCTGCCTCTCCGCTACCCTTTGGCATAACCGTAGCATTATTTCAAGTGTAAGCATGTGACTTGCTGATTGCAGATGACTTATTTCCTGTAGAAAAGCTGAATTGTGTTGCAATGTATACCAAAGAAACAGTGAACAGGAGTTTAAAAGAAACCATCTATATTTGCTTTACTGGAGAAAAGGAGAAGCACTTCAGAGGCAGAGGTCATCTGTGTAGTTGCTGTCCTGTGCCCCAGCTCCACTACTGGCTTGAGCAAGTGATAGTAACTGCATGCACTGGTGGGCTTGGAGGGGCAGGAGTGAAGAGGAAGCACTGGCATATAAAACATCTGATCTGATGGAACACAGCATCTAAATGAATTGTGTGTCTCTGTCTTGTGGTGTGACCGCAGAGCAAGAGAAGTGATGGAGCTGCAACAGCAAACTTGGAAGATCTTCTAAATGGAAAAAAAGGTTTAATTTCTGAACAGGAAGAAGAGACGGTTTTGGGCAGAAGTGTGTCTGAAGACAAATCTGCATATAGGTGTCAATGCTGCCTGCCAACTTTATAACTGTAAAAGGAAACTGGTGGATAAAAGGCAAAGATTATCTGTTCCTGTGAAACGGTTTTTACTGGTAAGTGCAGAGCAAGTCCTCCTGTGCAGGGAGCTTATAATTAATGGTGCAGTAATGTAGCTATCTTGACAATCCTTGAGAAAGAAGGAATAACAGTACTTCATGTCTTCAGTTTTCCTACTGTGTAGTGGTGCCTTTTGTGGTGCTGCTCAGCTGTGGAGGAAGGAGATATTTTGCCTGGGCTGCAAGGATTGCTGTTCTGTGTTTGAGATGCACTTCGCTCACAGCAAGGAAACCTAGGCACTGGGAGGGAAACATTCAGTTGTGAGCAAATTAGATTCATGCTCTTACTGTACAAACATGTCTCTCACAAGAAGGGCTTTTAAGATTTCATTCTTCTCCAGCTACCCTTACCTGTGCTGAGCTTCTAAGAAAATAAGGAATCTGTTTTCATTATTATCATCTCTTTTAGTGGGGGCACCCAAAGGTGGTGCTTTCACCAAATGAATGGATGGAAGAGTTTGTTCTCTCTCTTTCTTCTCTCTACATCTGAAAAGAAGGAAACTTTTTTTCTTTCTAAATTAGAGGTAACTGATAACTGTTCATTTGACTCCAGCACAATGTTCAGGCCATCCTCTCCAAAACAAGTGGGGTTATTTAGTGTGCTGCCATTTCCAATTGGTTGCAGAAAGCCTATTCAAGTACTGCCTGAATTTGTTTTGGATGCTCACCTGAGTATGGTAAGGGAGACAGAATGCTCTTTTGGGGTGAGTGGAGGAACTAGAGTAACCACAGAATAAAATGACATATGCACCCACTGACCTTGCTGTTACCAAGTACTCTTCCTCTTCCAAACACCCACAGCTAATCACAACTACTGTTTTGCGAGCTGAGAGTTGCATGGTCACTCGTGTCAGTTATGTTACAAAAATGAAAGCTGCTTTATGTGCATGCATAAATCTCATCGCTGCTTACAGTTGTGTTTAGCTGTCTGTATGGGTATTTCTAATGCAGGTTACATTCAGAAGTGTGTATTCTGGATCTTTAAAATCTTTTTTTTTAATTCACTTGTGCATACCAAAGGCACCATTTTCTTTTTAAATAAGAATAATGTCATTATTTTATAACATTCTCTTTCATGAAATAATATGTAGTTGAAAGAACTGTGAAGTTGAAATCAAGTGATTATTCAAAATGTTGGCTTCTCTCTTGATGTTTTAGGGCTAAAGCTGAAGAGGTGTTTAAGAATTTCAATTTACACTGAATAGGATTTAAGAGCCAGTTTCATAAATACATTTTTTTTGGATTTCAATAGTTACCATCTTTATCTTTGTCACTTGTCACAGCTGAGGAAGCTCCATACTATCTTTTAGTGTGAGAGCACGTAGATCAGAGTAGAAGAGCACAAATACTAATGAAGCCATGAAATTGTTGGGTTGCTGCTTACTACCAAGAGGCTGTGGTCTCCTTAGTTGTTGCTCAGAACCCTGGGTGATGGAAGAGGAGGTAAGACCAGAATCTGTGCCCTCAGCAACACTGGCTGCCTCTCAAGGACAAGAGCCATTGCCAACACTGGTCACTAGCCCTGCAAAAGGGGACATTCATCCCTGCTGCTTTCCTGCAGGTTCCTCTAGTTCAGAGAGATGTGCCAAGTGGTGGCATGCAGTAGATGATACTGTATGTACATCTTCGAGTGACAGCCAAACGCTTCTCATCGCCTGTCAAAACACTGGTGACTCAGAGACTACACAGGCTCTGCTGGGAATACCCCTCCCTTCTCATCTGAGTGTAGTCTGGGTATTTCTCACCAGGTGACGTTCTGCTTGGTGATCAGTCAGGGCATGTGCATGGAGAGAAGGAGGACAGTCTGTGAAAATTGCAGGACATCTCCCAGAGGAAAGACTGACCAGAACCTGCATGTGTTTCTGACCTGGCTTTCACATGTGCTGTCAGCTGTACCTCCATGCCCTAGTAAGCACTCGGGCAGGATTACGCAGAGCTGGGCTGAGCCCTCATGGAACAGTGACTGCAGACAGTGTTGTGGGTGGAACCATGTGAAGGAGGAGCGTTGGTGGGGAGTTTTGGGTGGCCATATCTCCCACCTACGCCTTGTTCACTGTCCTTGAAGTTCCCCTCCAGCAACTGGGTAGCATCACCTGACACTGACTTCAACTGAAATTACATTTTCTTCACCTTTTATTAAGAACTTCTTCCTGCCTGCTGGTAGTTTTTCTTTTAACCCCATATCCACTATCAGCCTGCCCTCCTGCGTGTTTACTCTTCAGTTCCTCTCCCATTCCTTAAGTTTTACAACTAATGCTTCCCCTGAGATGCTGAAAGAGCAAACATCAGCCATTCTTTGAGCACCAGGAGGTATTCATGGGCAGAGACACTCTCCAACCAGGCACAGATCTGCTGTTGTGCTGGAGGCCTGCAGAGCTGGGGAGCAGCACCCCTGCCATAGGAGCAATTGGGGAGGTCTGGAGCAGCATCCCAGTTTGCTTTTCTACTGTATGCCACAGTTTGCTTTTGTTCAGGGTTTTCATCTCATTTTCTTTCTGAAGTTTGCTTTGTCTTGGGATTAAGACCGTGATAGTAGAGTTAAGATGAAAAGGGTCACAGTTCATATCTGATGTTTTCAGATAAAAAGGTTACATGGCTTGTCTCTTCTGCCTTTGAAGGTCTGCTATGCATTTTCACCAAGATGTTGTATTTTAGTTTGGAAGAGAACAGTTGTAATTTTCTAAATGTGGATTCTGCAGTTGACTCTGTTTGTCCTCTGAATGGAACCTCGTGCATGTTACTGGCAGGATGAAGCAGCTGGCTGTGCTTTTTGTTTTTCCCCTGTCTGTAGGAGCTTGTGCCTATAGAAATGAGTGGGAATTTTCCCACTGATGTTGGTAGGAAGAGCGATCTGACAAATGCATAACTCTGCAAAGCATCCATGCTCAAGATCTCTATGGGTCCTTCATGGCGTTGGTCTTTTTGAAGTAGAGCTTCTGGTTTTCCCTAGTGAAGATTCTGCTCTGTAAAATTCTTGGCAAAGAGAACCACGATTTCTGGGTGCAGGATGACAATAAAAAGTGCAGTTCTACTCAGTGGCAGAAACTTTGAAATTGCTGGCATGGAGAGATTGAGTTTGAAACTCTGAAAGACAGCGGGTGTAAAAACCTGTGAGAGGGGAAAACCACACATAGCTGACAACTGTATGCATCATGTGAATACTTCACAGTGTGAAACTGTCTTAGTAGAAGCAAAAAACATCAGTAGCACTGAAGATTGGCTGGAAGAGGGTGTAGCACTGAGAGGTTTAATGCATGCGACTGAACTTTCTCAATTCATCCGAGTCTTGTAGCTTTTTAATGCAGTGTGGAAGATCAGTATCCAGGCTGCTTCTTTTTTTTTTTCCTTGTTTTTTTTTTTTAAGTATAAAATCTATATATTTTTTCTGCTAGTATTCATTTAATGTCAGTTTACTTTGTGACTATGGAAGTGTTTAATAAAAATTCTCCATCTGCTCAAGGAAAAAATAGAACTTGTTAAAGTTCATCTGCAAAGACAATTTATTGTGGCTTACTGAACGTAAAGGACCAGGAGATAAATTCAGTCATTTAGAGGCTGAGGAGGTTCAGTATTTCAGTTTGCCCAGAAACATCCCCCTTTTAATTCCAAAGCTTCTCAAAAAGTTTGCTCTCTGTATTTTGTATTTACAAGTGAGTACAGAAGACCTGATAGGACTGCCTGTGCAAGATGTGTCAGCTGGAGCACTGCTGCATTCACCCTCAGCACCAAGCAACTCCAATTACTCTTTGGTCAGACAAACTTTTTATTCATTGAGGTGCAGTTGTTTGCCAGAGCTATTTGTGATCACGTGGCAGTAGAGGCACAATTAATACATTGTAAAAATAAATTATTTTTTTAATGGCATATGCTGTGGAGATGTAATGGAGCCCTGCTGGCTTTCCTCTGAAGAGCAGTGTGGGGCCAGGGGGAGGATCTGCCAGCTCACAGCAGAGCTCTAGGAACTCTCCAGCCAGCAGCAATGGAAAAGCGTGCATCAGAGTCCCTTTGGGAACTGGGGTTTGGTTTCAGCACGGTGCACTAATGCTGTCAAACTGCCTGTCTCAAACTGCTAAGGCTGATGAACTGCTAGTAATTATCACTTAGAAAGCCATCGGTTGCCAAAGCCATCAACTCACACCTTACATGTGTTGGCTGGACTAGTTTGAAGTCACTTCATTTAAAAAACAAAAAACAAAACAAAATAAATTACTGAGTACACATTCTGATTCAAGAATACTGTTGAGTTTTGACAAGTAACAGTTGGTGCTAGTGGTAATTATTTTTGTTGTTCAGAGTAAGCTTGGGGGCTGCTTCCTTGGAGTGTGTCAGTGGTGCTCTTTACTTTGTGTATAAGAGAGCTACTAGCACCTCAGATATTTGCAGCAGGCCAAAATAAAGAACTGAAGCTAGCAAGATCTCATTTTCCTTTCCTGTAAACTGGACAGAGAGAGAATTTAAAATAGCCATTGTTAGAAAGAAACAAAATCTTATTTTGCAGTTAATTTCCAGTCTCTGTAAAGAAATAAATTTGAAGAGGAAAGGCTAAGCAGGGAAGAAGCTGTCTGCACAACAACACTGCTCACAGTCCTGTCAAGCAACCTGTATGTAAAACCATGACTTGGGGCAGAGCAAATGTCATTGATTTCCTTCTGAGCGGATCTGAGTAGCAGCTCTTACTGAGAGCTGAGATACAATATGAACGCAAACAGATCACACAGCCACTGCCACAGATGGAGAAAAGGCCATGCAGGAGGCTGGACAGTGCTTTTTCGTACAGAAATTTGTGACTTTATCAGTCATCAGTGAGTAAGCTGGTGGAAAAAATCTCCGAGTCCCAACCTTTTGAGTCTGAAGGACTCTGAGTTGGAACTGTTAGACAGTCCAAGAAAATATTTTTGAGCATTCCTTGCTTCTCCTTCAAGCGTATGACTTAAGACAGATCTTTGGGGTTGTACAGCCAACCTCTGAAACTCCTACTCCATCGTTCCATGTTGCTC